GTATATATATATATATATATATATATATATGCATACACTGTATGTATGTGTGTGATAGAGGATTGTCTTGATGTATTATATTAATATATAAAGTATAATAATATATATTAATATAAAATTACAGATTAATAAATGTATGAAATTATGAGGGGAAAAACAACAACAACAACAACAAAAATCTGCATATGATTTTCACATTCCAGATCTGTTTGGACCTGAAGAATCATTGCTTTATAAAACATTCATAACTTAATATTTTTCATCTAACTATATATTGTGTCTGATCAGCAGCTTTTTATTAATGAGTGAATGTGGGGAAAAAATGGAGAGCGGGGTGAGTTGAGCCACTTTTACTTGCGGTCTGTTTAAAGCGAGCGCAAACAAGAGATGAGAGAGAAGAGATGATCGGTTCATGTGCCGCTTGAACTGAGGCGCTACAGCGATCGGTCACCACAAAACACTATTTATTGTTTGAATTCTTTCAAAAATGACAATATTTGAAAGCTGAGAATTTTTCATACTAATTAATAATTTAATAATTCATTCATTCATTACATTTATATAGCGCTTTTCTAGGCACTCAAAGCGCTTTACATTGTCAGGGGTTCTCTCCTCATCGACCACCAGTGTGCAGCATCCACCTGGATGATGCGACGACAGCCATAGTGCGCCAGACCGCCCACCACACACCAGCTTATTGGTGGAGAGGAGACAGAGTGATGAAGCCAATCAGTAGATATTGGGATTGTTAGTGATGATCAGAGGGGCAAATTTGGCCAGGATGCCGAGGTCACACCTCTACTCTTTTCGAAAGACATCCTGGGATTTTTAATGACCACAGAGAGTCAGGACCTCGGTTTAACGTCTCATCCGAAGGACGGTAGTAGCTGAGATGCAGCAACCTAGTTTTCCCAGGAGGTCTCCCATCCAGGTACTGACCAGGCTCAGCCCTGCTTAGCTTCAGTGGGCAGTGGGCAAGTTTTTGTTTACGTTATATATATGTGTGTGCTGTGTATATTTATATGTATGAATACACACACATACATGTATATACACTGAACAAAATTATAAATGCAACACTTTTGTTTGGGCAAAAACAAAAGTGTTGCGTTTATAATTTTGTTCAGTGTATTTAAGAAATATTTACATGTGTGTATATATATATATATATATATATGTATGATTTATATATATTTCTTACATATATACATGTATATACAGTATAAATATATACACACATGGGTGGCTCAACTTCCCCACAGTCTCAAATCACCCCGCTCTTCCCTACTGCATTTACTCTTTTTGATAAAAGAATTGAGAAATTATTTGATATTTAAAATTACACATAAACCAAAAATGACACTTGTTGCCCAACAGATATTACAAAAATGTGATTAATTTTAGTTGGAAGTCTGAATTCACAAAAAAATATAATTTCAGATGTTTTGAAACAACATACAAAACCGTAGTTTCTCACCAAAAATGTCATAAATATTAATATTTTACAAAGTAAACTAACTAGAATGGAAAGTGATATCGAGGACTCGGCCTATATATTGATTGCCAATTAAAACAATATTCAAAAGAAATGTTTTGTTTGAATCATGTTGATCAGGGAAATTAGTTTTAATGATCTCTTTCTCATTGTTGAAAAGAAAAAACAATCAGAAAAAATCACTTCATTGTGATTAACAAAAACTAAAATGACTTATATTTTCTTTATATTATTTTAAATGGTGGTTTTAATATGTCATCCGTACGCTCTCAGAAAATGATGTATGGATGAGGTTAAAATCACCAACCTTTTCAAATGGACTTGAGGTACTAATATCTACACTTTAGGTACAAATATGCATCTTTTTGGTAAATATGGTACAAATGTGTATCTTTTGATAGAGTACCATGCATTGATCTGTATATATATATATATACATACATACACACACACACACACACTGTACCATATATATATATATATATATATGACCCTCTAACTCTAACACTTTCTATCCTATTTTAATTCTACTTTATCTATATTTATCTTCTTTTTTTATTATTTTTTATTTAAAAAAAAACAACAAAAAAAAAAAACACTAGCTTTCTATTTTTTCTATTCTATCTACTTGTTTTTCTTTGTGTGTGAGTGTGTGTGTGTGTGTGTAATGTGTGTCTGTGTGTGTGAATATGTATATGTGTGTGTATATATATACACCTTGCTACGTGTACTGTGTTAGGCTAACCGAGACTTATCATTTTGCACTTATATATTGTTGCTCTTTTGTTAGTTTTGACTGCTTTTATTGTCCTCATTTGTAAGTCGCTTTGGATA